TGGATAAAAGCGTCTGCTAAATGACTAAATAAATAAATATACTATTTATATACTCCTACTATATAGCCTAGTATGAGTATTGTACATTATAATATTGTTAAAATTTTATACCACAGTACTTTGGTAGTGAAATACGTCACCTCTGTATATTTTACAATATATTCACATCAAACACTGAAAATGGGATTTTTTTTCTTAGAAAATTGCCGTCGTATTTTGTGAAAATCGCCTTGAGGGGGATTTTTCCCGCGCTGGCGACCCGCCGAGCAGCTCCACATCCGGGTTTTTTTCCCGCGAGTCTCGTGAGTTTGGTCGGCGAGAGTTGACGCGCGAGACACGGAAGAAAAACAGCGCTAAAATGAACTAAATCAAAAATCGGAGTATTAAACGAATAAAAGCATACAATAACATTACATAATGGAATATAACCATTAACGGAAGACATGAGGAGATTTAACATGCCTGCTCAGACTGAGGGACGATCGTCTGTTTGATTGACAGGTAACGCTCATCACGATCTTATTATTATTTTGAAAACTGACTTAATTACATACAGATTTGACAGAAACAAAGGCATTAGCAATAATACTATAACCTTAAAATACGCTTTAACGTAATTTTCTTTGTCTGGAATTAAAAGTGAAACTAAAGAAATCTTGCTTTATTTAAATTAATTTGACTTTTATTGTTTATTCTTAAAATCTCTCAAAATACTTCTACAATTTAAGCACGTACCCTCATAAAATATTATTACAATGCAAATACCTAGGTACTGATTTATTACCATATTGAGCGATCAAAAATATAAGAACGTCTAACGTTCCCATTCAGTTATGGAAACGCTGTTTCTGAATGTTCTCCAAATGTTCAAAACGTCCGTTTTTAAATAAAAAAAAAATGTTTGAAGTTTTTAATGGTTATTCAAATGTTAAGGCAATGTTCCTTTGTATCATTTTGCAAACATTATGGGAACGTTACTTTAGAATGTTCTCTGAACGTTCTGAAACTAGTAACATTTAAAAAACGTTAAATTAACTAAAATGTTTCCAAAAAAAAAAAAAAGTTTGAAAAACTATAAATATGACCCGACAATTCAAGTTAAGTCTCCTTTATTTAGGCTATATAGCGCTTTTAACGATACAGATTGTGTCAAAGCAGCTTTACAGTATCAAAATAGGAAAATAGTTCTTACCTATTCAATAGTTCTTAATGGAATAGTTTCCATTACCCTTCAAACTGCACAAATTGAAAATACGCCCAATGGAAACATCAATTTCGCAAAAACTCCCATATATCGCAAAAAAGTTTGTATGCTCGCATGAGGTGGTTCTTCAGGTGGTTCTGTTTTTTTTTCCACTGCTTCGCTAAAGATACACATCTACGTCTCCTTCGATTAAAATTAATGGCTAGTGCGGTGGCTGCGATATACGTAAACCTACCAACATCCGTCGCCATGACTTCTCGCGAGAAAAAAAAATTGCGTTTTAGTCGCATAACATCGGTTAATGAAAACGCAGTCATTTCGCAATCGTTTTTTAATCGACATTTATAAAATATCGCAAAAGTTTTGCGCAAATCTGTAATGGAAACGCAGCTGTAGTGAACTACTTCCGTTTTTTTCGCCAAGCCCATACACGAGTTCCGTTCGGTTCAGTGGCATTGTTTACGTTCTGTGCCTCCAATATGGCCGACTTCCAGATTGATGACGTGTCGTGAAAACATGTTTAATTTGACTAGTTTTAGTGTGTGTGGATGGTTTTCTTAACATTTTTGTGAAGGCTATGACTGTCCCTGTGCTCTCAAGAGCAGAAGTGAAAAGCAGAAACTTACCCATGATGCTCTGCGGCGGTGAGAAGAGGAAGCGTGGCTGACTCTGATGATATCTGGTGTGTCGTCAGGCATGTGGTGGTTTCAGGAGGGTTTGTGCGTCCTGCCCGTGGCGCTGGTCATCTGGACCGCCGCCACCATCTTCGCGTACATCACGGCCATCATCCTGAGACACGTGGACCCGCTGGTGCCCTACATCAGGTGAGCGCAGACCGGTGTCATCATGTGACGGCGTGACCTCTGAATGACCTTCGTCTTGTACTTACAGTGACACGGGGACGGTGGCGCCGGAGCGATGTGTGTTTGGAGTCATGCTGAATGTGTCTGCGTTCTTAGGTACTGAATGACCTCTGACCTCACACTGACCCTATCTATGACCCCTAACTATACAACCAAAAAAATACTGCATCTAGCTATGTGCTAATGCTAACAGTAGGGGAAGGGGGTAGACCTTTAACCCTGTCAGTTATGATGCGTTTAAGTGATGCAATGTTGCGTATTTTCCTGCAGGTGTCGCTACTATGTACGTGCGCTATAAGCAGCTCCGCGCCCTCGTGGACGACCCCCGTCTGAACCTCCTCAATCTGATAGGGTTCGTTCTGGGCTGCGGAAGCTCACTCGGCATGTGCGTCATCGCTAACTTTCAGGTACGTACACTGCTATGTTTTTTGAGCGTAACGACGTAACAATTTTCATGTATTCGGCGTGAAAATTAGGTCAGATTTCGCATTCAATTTGCAATCGGTCTCATTCAGACTGAAACGTTTATCACGTAGAATATTCGCCTGTTTACATGCAACACAAATATTTGGCATGAAATTTGGTCCGATTTTCACATTCGATTTGTCTGTTCAGACATCATATAAAAAACTGAAAAAAACATTATTTACATGTTTTCAAACAGCCGTTCAGATATTTTTATTTGTATTCACTTTGTTGTTTATCAAACGAGCAGATGACCAAAAAGCGCTAATTTTATTGGTTGTCCAGTTTTCTTCACAGTGCGCTGGGAAAGAGATTAAAACCCATAGATCTCCATAAAATCATTGTTGGCATGCAAATGTTCACATCGCTCTGAACAGACGCAACAGCCGTTCATTCAAATTAAAATGTGTATTGCAATTAAGATTCGTCATTAATGTTTGCATGAAAATTCAGTATGATTTTCGCATATGATTTGTCTGTTTGGACCAATATGCAAAAAACGTTGCATTGATTGGTACGTGAAGTTTAGCATCAGTCTGAACAGATGCAACAGCCGTTCATTCAAATTAAAATGTTTATTGCACCAATATTCGGTCCAGTTTTCGCATTCAATTTGTCTGTTAAGACCAATGCGCAAAAATAATCACATTGACGGCATGTGAACGTTCTTCATACGCAATACGCAACACGATTTTTGCATTTGATTTCGCTGTTCGCACCAATGTGCAAAAACCGTTGCATGCGAATGTTTGTGTCGGTATGATTTAAATTAAATGTTTATCGTACAAAATATTCTCCTGTATACACCAACAAATACTGGGCTTGAAGATTCGGTCCGAATTTCGCATCTATTTTGTCCGTTCAAACCGACGTGCAAAAAAAATGTTGCAACGTCACATGTAAATGTTCACAGGAGCAACAGCTGTTCATGCAAAATAAAATGTCGCACCGAAATATTTGCATGATAATTCTGATTTTTGCATTCGATTTGTCGATTCGGACGAGCGTGCAAAAAGTTGCATTGTCAGCATGTAAATATTTGTGTTGGTCTAAAGAGACACACTTACAGCCGTTCATTCAAATTAAAATGTTTCAGAGTTTTCGCATTAAGCGTGCCGTGTCTTTCCCAGAAAACCACTCTGTTCGCGATGCATCTGGTGGGAGCCATACTGACGTTCGGCGTGGGCGCTCTGTACATCCTGGTCCAAACGCTGCTGTCGTACCGCATGTAGCCGCATGTCCACAGCAAAACCAAAACCATGTTCTGGACGCGCCTGAGTGTCTGCATCTGGACCTTTGCCAGCATCATCAGCAGTATCCTTTAACAGGCGTTAGCGTTTAGCATGCATTTAGCATGCCGCTGCGGTTGGTTCCTTGATTCGCTCAGTGTTCGTGTCGTCGGTCATCATGTACAGCACTCTGTCAGGAATCGAGGTCAACAAGAAGCTGCACTGGACGCCCGGAGAACCTGTGAGTGCGAGTCCGTGTCACCGCCAGCTTTGCGTGTGTCGAGCCAGTCTCTGATCGCTCTGTTTATTTCAGGGTTTCACGCCGCACATCGTCAGCACTATCTCCGAATGGTCTCTCGCTCTATCCTTCATCAGCTTCTTCCTCACCTACATACGAGACTTCAAGGTAAAGCATCTCCTATCGGATGGTAGAATGCTGTTGACCGTGTCTCTCACACGTGTGTTTCTCTGCAGAAGATCAACCTGCGAGCGGAGGCGGAGCTTCAGAGCAACCACCTGTACGATTCGCACCATTACCGGCCCCTTCCTTCACGAGGGCCCTCGGAGACCTCGCCACTGCTCGCCGGGAGCATCTGATGAGGAGAAGACGCTCCAGATGAGGCAGAAAGACTGTGATGCTCCAGCGGAGGACAGCGACACTCGGGGTTAAAGGCAGAAACACTCAACGGGCCGTGTAGAGCTCTGGAAACATCATACTAACATTTACACAACGTTTGATGATCCTAACAATCCCCATATCTGCTGATTGGCTTCATCACTCTGTCTCCTCTCCACCAATAAGCTGGTGTGTGGTGGGCGTTCTGGCGCACTATGGCTGCCGTCGCATCATCCAGGTGGATGCTGCACACTGGTGGTGGATGAGGAGATACCCCCTGACAATGTAAAGTGCTTTGAGTGCCTAGAAAAGCGCTATATAAATGTAAAAATGTAATGTTTGTACAACCTTCACACAACCATCTGAAACAATGCTCTAAATACTGAGTTTAGCAGGTATTACACACTTCTTGTTTGTTTTCTATTGTAAGTTCGTTAGTGGAAACATGTTCTATAGTCTGTACTTTTGTTTAGAAGTATGCATTTTTAATGCATATTTTTATCCAAACACCTAACTGCTTTGATTATGTTATTAAAGTTGACATTAGTGGGTGGATTTTATGCAAAAAGAACATTTATAGCTCTTATTTCATCATGGAAAACTAAAATAAAAGCCTCATTTAAAAGGCATGAAATATGCAAATAATATATTTTAGATGATTTAAATAAAATGTTTATTGTACTGATTATTGCAATGCTACAAAAATACTGTTTCGCATCAATGAGAATCATCGCTGGCAATAAAACGTACACATGTATAACAAGTTTGAGGTGAAATATGAGCTGGATTTGTTCCCGTTTAAAATCACTCGCTTAACTCGCAAACAAACATTGTATCAGCTCGCTTTATCTTTTATTGTGTTAAAACGAGATACAAATAAACAGCATTAAATATTGACAATGTCTGAAGTATGTTAATGGAATGTCGATAGGAAAGCTGCACTCGTTTACACCACCACTCCTCGCACCCATCCGGCCTTCATCTTCTCCCTCTTCTTCCTCTCGTGATACTCTGACACCTTCCTGTGAAAGAACACTGCAGAAGAACAAGAGCGTGAGCACGACGATAGATCATGAAGAAGAAATCAGTGCATGCACTCACTGACTGAACTCTGCAGTCTGGTCAAGTCTCTTGTGCAGATTCATTTCGCAGTGTATAAAGTGCTTGATTGATGATAACGAGTTTTCCTGAGCATGCAGAATGCTTCAGTGACGGGGGACGTTTTTTTGCTCACTTCACCAATGTGAAGTCTTGATTTTTGCATTGCAAAAAGTATAAAATTTTAAATTTTAAAAATTGCATTTTTGTTCTCACAATTCAGACTTTTCTGAGTTTACGTCTCGTAATTCTGTTTTTTGTTTACGCAACTGAATAAAAAAAACGAAAAAGGTAATTACGACTTTTTAATTCAGATGTTTTTTCTCACAATTGCGAGTTTTCTTTTCAGAATTGTGAATAGAAAAAAATTCAGAAATGTGAGGGAAAACATTTTTGCGAGATAAAAAGTCGCAATCGCCATTATTTTTAATCCCATGGCAGAAACGAGCTTCTATAAGTGTCCGTTTTATTTCGTAGATTGAAAACGGCTTACGCAAACTGCCGATAGAAAAGCTGTTCTAAAACATATTCTTCCCTTAAAACGCGAGTATTTAAATAAAGCGAGTTAAAGAACATCCCAGCTAACAGAAATATGTTCTACGCATGCTTTCCGAACTTTCCAAGTAAGAAAACGTTTAAAAAATATAGTTTTATGAATATTTGTAAAATGTTTTTGTCTTGGTTATTCAAACGTTAAGGTAACATTATGACAACGTTACTTTGGAATGTTCGGAAACGAGTTGAAACATTTAAAAAAAAATGTGTTTCAGAAATAAAATGTTACATGAATGATGTTTTTGTACTAACATTATTAAAAAAAACAGATACCTTTGAACGAAAATTCTATTAACGTTACCTGTAAGAACGTTTGTTCATAAGTTTGAGAGAACGTTCCGTTAAAACACGTTTTCAGTCTTATTTCAGGTTCCATTAAGAAAAAGAAAAATCTCCAGAACCATCAGGGGTTTTTAGGTAGATCTGTTTGAAGAAGTTTATTTTAGAGTACTGTAAAACATCTCCTGCGTTAGTTTGAGCTTCTTAAACTGATTAGGTGTTTTGAAGCATGTGTGTTTGTACCGTTAGGGTTGGGCTGCGTTTCCTCTTCCTGAATGAACAGATCGAACATCTGCGTCTGGATGAAGAGCTTGACAAAGTTCAGGTGTGACTTGTGTTCCACGGCCTTCAGGAAGCTCTTCTTCTGGAACTGGCGGCCGTTCGCGCACCTCTTGACGTGCTGCGAGAAGTGACCCACGCTCCTGACGAAGACGGACAGGAAGGCCTCTGACACCAGTCGGTTCAGCTCCTCCGTCGCTGCCAGAACACACAATAACAGGAAGTTGAGCGGCGCTCTTACTGGAAGCGGGCCGTTGGCGCGGGAAGACTGAACTCACAGGCGTGGCGTGTGCACGTGGACAGCCGCGACAGCAGCTCCTCCTTCAGCTTAGCGGGCAGGAGAGACTCCTCGTCTCCAATCTGAAATCACACCATCATGATTGGGAGTTTAGGACGTTGCTATGCGGTTGCTAGGGTAGTTACTGATTACATGTAATCCGGATTACGTAATCAGTACTTGTAATTATAAAGCGGATAGTTCCGGTGCTTGATTCTGATTGGCTGAGCCGCGTTCGAAGCTGTTGTAAATGACTCTACAAAGTAACATACACCTTTGTTTACTTCTGTGTGTTGCTCGGCAACCACTTTGTAGCAACCACAACTGTTTCTGAGGAGCTACATTGTTTGGTGGAAGAATACTGTTTTTATTAATATCATTACACTTTATTTGCTCTGTTTTATTTTGTGAAACCTTACTACGTATATGGAATAACCGTTTAATAAAAGCAATAACCCCCGTGAAGCGCCATGTCTAACAACGGCCCTTATCTGTTATAAATTCACTGTAAACCACGGCCTCATGGGGCTTATTGCTTTATTAGAGTATACTGCATTTTAAAATGGTCACAATCTGATTACAGTTACATGATTACATATTACTCACACAATGGCAGTAATTATTCACACTTTATAGATTCTAATTTTTTTCTTTTTTTGAATTATCCTCTCTAAAATCCTACTGTGTGCCATACGATTTCTATTTTTAATTCTTTAATGTTTAATGCACTTTATGGCATTGATATCAAGACATGGAATATATTTTCGTTCTCTTTGCTTTTTTATATCTATATGGTAAGTTGAAAACAAGTAAGATAAAAAAGTAAAATAAAATAAGTAACCTAGATTACGTTACTGACTGTAGTGCAGTACTGTGGGTGAATGAGACGACGAACAAACAGCGTCTCGGCAAACACAGTAACGAGACTCGTGTGAAACTCAAAGAGAGTAAATGAAATCGGAGAAACTGTGTGTGTGTGTGTGCGACTCACTCTCGTGATGAATTTAGTTTCTGCTCCGGGCGACAGATCGACAATCATCAGCTGAGAGACACAGAGAGAATCATCAGCATGTTCGATAAACACTTTGATCCGTCATTAATAATGATCATATTCAGACTGTAGGGTTGTGTGATGTTTGTGTGTGTGTCTGTGTGTGTGTGAGAGAGAGAGAGAGTGTGTGTGTGTGTTGATA